CCTGGTGGGGCGGGGTAAGAAAAGGAAAGGTAAAGGAAATCATCTGGTTCTTACCTCTGGTTGGCTTCTTTCCCAAGCTATGCTGTCATTTGCTAGTGTTAAAAAGCCAGTTTTTGAGTGATGGATTCACTCTTGTATTGCCAAGATGAGCTTATGTTACACTGGTGATAGAAAGATGTTTGGTTTTCTAGTCAATGGCCCTGCTATGCACTGTAAGTATATGATAGACATTATGTAGATAGACATGAACAAAATTGTATCTTTAATGAAAGTGAGTCACTTTCAAACTGCACACAGCAGGAGGAGCCATAGTACCACTGAGCTCCTTCCATAAGCCACTCCTGTCCCATGCAGAGACATCAGAATGGTTTGTTGGAGAAGCTGAATATGGACCAGTGTTCTGCTTTTCAATCCCACCATTTTGGAAATGGCCACTTTTTGGAACCAAGGGTTCTCCAGCCTGTGACATATAAAAAATGACCCATGTGGCTGAGCTCTTACTATCGTTATGATTTATGGCAGTGCCCACCATGCACTGGGTGCTTTCCAGGCATTCAGAAGAGGACAGTCCTTACTCAAAGAAGCTCATAGTATAAGGACAAACACACAAGTAAACAGGGGTTAAGGGAAGAGGAAAATAAGGAATTTTATACAGGTTAACGAGACCCACTGTAGGCAGCATGACAGTAGTGGGTTTTTAAGAGGGACTTGAATGTTGGCAGGGTACAGGCCTAATGGATGAACTCAGCGAGGTCACATGGTTTATAGAAAGCCATAGGAAAGAAGGCATCTTAGTGTGTGTTTATCTTTATATATATTTGAGTATTTAGAAATTCCAATTAGTATTCAAATATACTTTCTTTAAAAACAAAGTTTCTACATAGCAGCAGCTGTGCCTGAAGCCATTACAAGTGCAGTGCCAGTGTACAATTCTTGTGATGTCACTAGCTGCCTGGAAACAAATGGCAACATTTCCATCAACTTCAATGAGACCAGTGCTTTCTCTCAGTAATGCCTCATTAAATTGACAGGCCTCTACTGTCTAATTTAGGTTTAGATTATGCACTTACATTTTCATCCACCACTTTTTATTTCTGCATTTGGCCCAACCAGAGGTGGAAAACACTGATTTTTAAACAAACTGGCAGGTGTGATATAAATTCAGTTCTGGGGGATTAAACAAGAGGCCGTTTTAGAAAATTTGGCTTTGTGGGTATTATAGTAAAGTGGGCATCATTGGGTTAACTGGATTACTCAGAGTATTAGGAGATGGTGCCATACTCCATCCCTTCCTATTTCCCTGTTTGTCACTGGGAGTTTCCCCCCTACACACATTTAGTTTGTCTATGATGCAGGTGAATAAAGCAGAAAGTTGCCCAACTTACAGTTCTGTGAGTAAAATATTTGTGTTGCCCTGAGCCATCCCTACTCAAAAAGTATGCCCTTCTCCAGTCATAGGCTGTCATTACCACCATTGGGAGAAACAGGCTTTCAGTTTTCAAACCAAAGTACAGTAAATCCTTGTACTAGAAAATAAAATAATGTTGCAAAAATGACCAGTAAGACTAACTCTCCAGACCAGCTAAAGAAATTGGTCAACTGAGTCACCTGATATCTCATAGATGCCCAGACAAAGTTAGCATGACATTCGCTGCCCCTAGCTTCACATCTACTTTCCTTTAATGTGTAATAAACATAGCTTTGCCTGAAGAGTTCTGGAAACTTCCTGGTCTGATAAGTCTGTTAAATCCAGGTTCTGAACGCTTGAGAATCAGGCCACTTACATGGGTGCCTATCTTTAGATACCCTCAGTTTGAAAAACCTGGCATTACCAGCTGAGAAGTACTATTAAAATATAAAAGGAATTCCAATGCAACTCTGTATAGGGCTCTTGAGAATGGTGTTATGATATAAACTCATGATGCTACGGCAATTTGGATTGAAGTCTGAGAGTCCTTTAAATATAGCAAAATAAAAATTCAAGGTAAAGCTTTACTGCTGCTAAAAAAAAAAGCAGAAGTTGAGTATCTCAGCAGCTTGCAAGACGTACGCAGCAATTTGCAGGATTGGGTTCATATATCACATCAATCTGGTAAAATATTCAAGTAAAAAAGGAGCCCAATCCTGCAGGTTTTACAGCTGGGATAATCTTACTGATGTTAATGGGATTACTCAGGAGTAAGGGCTGTAGGACTGGATTCCCCAATGTTCTCCAGTAGAAACCAACTCACAAGAATGAAGCAGAGTGGGTGAGTATTAATCTATATGTAAGCAGAGTCAGAACGAGCTCTACCCTGACAGCTGGTGGTGAGCTGTCGAAAAGGACTTCAGGGGCTGAGCTCGTTTGCATGGGCACACCCACCCTGCCTAGCATGATGGACTGCTTGCCCAAATGGTCACTTTGGCTGCTGTGGGATTCCCCAGTCTCTTTGTTATTGGAGCAGGAGTAATAAAGGGTTGTTATCCTGGTTATGTGAATCAAGGACAGTAGAACTGTACTTGGCATTTTAAGATGGAGGGACTCGCCCTCAACTAAGTAGCACTCGCTAGGCAAGGGACACTGGTTCCAAAACTCAGTGAATTGAGAAGTAGGTATGTGTATCTGGTAGTGTGGGCCTGTCTCCTTCTGAGGGCTTTAAAAGCTACTTTGACACCTGCTGTGTAATAATAGAGCCAATTTTGGCTCTATTTAGAGTTTTGTTACATGTTGCAGAGCTGAAGTCACTGATACCTAGGTCTAAGCATTAGACCTACTTTGGGCCAGTGGTACACCACCAATGAGGCTCCCCTACTATGAACTAAAAATCCCTAAAGAGCTGAAGTTACTGAGAGCTGTGTTAAGTGGGGGGGGGGCTTGAAGACAAGTTGAGGAGCGGACAGCAGAATGGCTAGTGTGGAGAATGGAGCGGATGGCTGGTAGAGAGGAGTGGACAGCAGGATGGCTAGTGGAGAGAGTGGAGTGGATAGCAGGGTGGCTGATGGAGAGGAACGGCCAGCAGGACAGCTGGCAGAACGGTGCAGCTGGTGGTGAAGACTGCAGCAGAACCCCATGGAGAGGCATGGCACTCGGCTGTCGACCCAAGCAGCGGAGCATGTAAGATGTCCCCCATGCCTCCCTCCTCTTCCACCCAGGCAGGGAGGTAAACTCTTCAGATGAACATCTGGGGGGGGGGCTGCACTGACCAAGGACAGAAACTGTTGGGGAGTGACTATTGGGTTGCTGGACTTAAGACCCTGAGGGGAAAAGGACACTTCCAAACTTACTTGGTGGTGGGTCTTTTGCTCATGGTTGGTGCTATGAATCCTGTTTGTGGTGTTTCCCTAACATAATGCCGCATTGTTTCCCTCCTTTATTAAAAGGCTTTTGCTACACTCAGACTCTGTGCTTTCGAGAGGAGAAGTATTGCCTCTTAGAGGCGCCCAGGGGGGTGATATGCAATTGTCCCAGGTCACTGGGTGGGGGCTCGAGCCGGTTTTGCATTTTGTTATTGAAACGGAATTGTTAGAGCTGAACCCGGCCCTTGTTGCTGCCAACTCTGATGGGCAGAAGGGTTACATATACCTTCAAACAAACCACAGTAACACACTAATACTTTTGATTGATCTAAATGTAAGTGGCCATTCTTGCTGGGCCCGATCCACCTCCCACTGAAGTCACAGAATCATAGAATATCAGGGTTGGAAGGGACCTCAGGAGGTCATCTAGTCCAACCCCCTGCTCAAAAGCAGGACCAATCCCCAATTAAATCATCCCAGCCAGGGCTTTGTCAAGCCTGACCTTAAAAACTTCTAAGGAAGGAGATTCCACCACCTCCCTAGGCAACGCATTCCAGTGTTTCACCACCCTCCTAGTGAAAAAGTTTTTCCTAATATCCAACCTAAACCTCCCCCACTGCAACTTGAGACCATTACTCCTTGTCCTGTCCTCTTCTATCACTGAGAATAGTCTAGAACCATCCTCTCTGGAACCACCTCTGAGGTAGCTGAAAGCAGCTATCAAATCCCCCCTCATTCTTCTCTTCTGCAGACTAAACAATCCCAGTTCCCTCAGCCTCTCCTCATAAGTCATTTGTTCCTGACCCCTAATCATTTTTGTTGCCCTTCGCTGGACTCTTTCCAATTTATCCACATCCTTCTTGTAGTGAGGGGCCCAAAACTGGACACAGTACTCCAGATGAGGCCTCACCAATGTTGAATAGAGGGGGACGATCACGTCCCTCGATCTGCTCGCTATGCCCCTACTTATACATCCCAAAATGTCATTGGCCTTCTTGGCAACAAGGGCACACTGCTGACTCATATCCAGCTTCTCGTCCACTGTCACCCCTAGGTCCTTTTCCGCAGAACTGCTGCCTAGCCATTCGGTCCCTAGTCTGTATCTGTGCATTGGGTTCTTCCGTCCTAAGTGCAGGACCCTGCACTTATCCTTATTGAACCTCATCAGATTTCTTTTGGCCCAATCCTCCAATTTGTCTAGGTCCCTCTGTATCCTATCCCTGCCCTCCAGCGTATCTACCTCTCCTCCCAGTTTAGTATCATCCGCAAAAATCAATCCGCAAAAAGTCAATGGGAGTGCTTTCAGTGATTTTAGTGAGATCTGGATTGGAGCCTTGATTGCATACAGAACCATTTAATATAATTCATATGAACAAATCCAATCATATCACAGCTGTATACAGAACACAGATCACATCAATGCAATCACCAGGTGCCTTTTATAAACAAAACTTCCGAGAAATGATTTTCAATCCTATTAGACATAAAAAAGGCAGGGACAGTTGGCCCTGTGAATGAGACTGTTTTCTAAACAAACAATATTGGAAAAATGTTCAATTACATGAAATCAAGGAAACAAGAAAGGTAGCACAAAATTCAACATTATTTTTAGTAAATTAACTTTTTTTATTTAATCAATTTTTATATCAGAAAAAAGAAACACAATATAGATAGTAAAATTCTATGAAGTGCAAAGATAAAATAATGCAAAACAAAAGTGAACTCATAGATCCATTCTGTTGTGTTCATAATAAAATTATATAGAATAGTACATCAGATCAGAATCATAATAGGAAAGCCATTAGAAACAGCCCAACATTAAATATTCCATAGTGATTGGAAACAAATGGCTTCAAATATTGACTTTTTAGTGAAAAAATGGTCCATTCAGAGAGCCTTAATGTGATGACAAATTGAAATAACAAATTGAAATTTTTCAGAGTAGTAGCCGTGTTAGTCTGTATTCACAAAAAGAAAAGGAGTACTTGTGGCACCTTAGAGACTAACAAATTTATTTGAGCATAAGCTTTTGTGAGCTACAGCTACTTCATCGAATGCATTCGATGAAGTGAGCTGTAGCTCATGAAAGCTTATGCTCAAATAAATTGAAATTTGTGATGACAAATTCCACTGAAGTGCCCTCTGTTGTCTCAGAAATTAGTGGGTCCTGTTACAGACACACTAATGACTGGATGAACTTTGACATCCCCCACTGCAAAACAATTTACATTAATCTCTAGTTAAGATGACCTGTCTGAACACCACTGAAACTGATAACTGCTGGTGATATAAATCTGCCAGAACTGTTGAAGATATGTGTTGCCTTTATTTAGCCTGATTCCCTCTCCAACATGTAATGTAACTCTTCCATTAGAAGTTTGATGATCATTCTGAAATGCATAATTGTCTGAAGTTTTAAATGAAAATTACTGTCAAGATGGAGAGGTTCTAAACCACCAACAGTATTAGACTAGACTAAATAAGAGACATTCTGCTACTGAACTTAATGAAAAAGAAGGTGTAATACTTCAAAAAAATATAGCAATACTCACTTAGCTACATGATAATAATTTACTATGTCATATGTGGGGAAAACAATTTGACCTCTCAATATATAGATACAACCCTGGGGGTCTAGTTCTGCAAGGTATTGAGTGTCCTTAACTGTGGTTAGTTGAAGGTGATCCACATCTCACAGGTTCAGGACTCAAGATTAGCCTAAGCCACAAAGTTCAGATCCTAATTTCCACAAAGTTGATGTGTTCCAATCCATGCTTTGGGTATTATAAAGATAAGGGCCAGAAATACAATAACCACCCTCAGACTTTGGGGAAGTTAGGATCATTTGGGTCCACTGAGAATATAAACATGACAAAACATGAAACAGAGAATTGATCAACAAAGGTTAATATAGAAACAATGTTTTATTTTCTCGTTAATGACAAGTGACAGTTTTACTGTGTATGAGACTGAATGTTAAAATATAAAAAAGCATAACTTGCACAAAACCTTTTGCTCACCAAATCATCCGCACCACCCTGCTAGTGGGTTATGTTGAAAAGTTACATGACCAATTAACAAATATTACTTTGTTGGCTGTTGATTTCATATCTCACAAGTGTTCACAAGTTCTGTACTTCACCTACAAAACAAATCAGCTCTATATAAACCAAACATAAATAGATTTAATGAGTTTCCAAGAGCATTACCTAATTGTGAAAATGAGGACTTGAGGACATCAGGGTCTTATGTTGGAATAAGGGCAATGGAGCATCAGCATCTGGTTACTAAACTCCAAATTCAATTTGTTCCACCTTACAATTATATATAAATGAATTTGAATGAAGCAAAGCTTCTTTTGATAATATTGTTTACTGAGTCAATAATGATATTTTAATAGAGACACTTACAGACACTGAATTTCAAATCATTCATCGAGACTGGAAGGATGGATGTTGTATTAGCAGAATTATTTGGAATAGTAATCTACAGGATCTGATTTAGCATGTAAGCCATAAAATCTCAAAACCCATTTTTTCTGAGTAATAATAAGGACAGGTTTTTTTCTAACTTAATAATATTCACAGAGAAGGGACAAAATGTTTAACATACTGCATAATTCCAAGCATAACACTTTGTTATGGTGAAGTTATGGTTATAGGTATGTATCCGTGTTCTTAGTGTACAATATCCTTCAAGAACTGTGGAGTTATTTTAGTAGAAATGGTTTGACCCATAACAGTCAGGGGGAGCTCTTGAAGGGTCTGGTCTTGTCCAGGGAATATGAAAGAGCCCTGTCCACATCAAGAGTGTGCAGTTTGGCTTTCCCTTTTGAGTGGGGCTTGGGAAAGAACACTGGGAGGCAACTCTACTGATTTAAATGAAAATCAGAAACAACCTAGGAAGGAACTTGGGGTGAGCCCTAAAAGTCACCTTATCTTTATGGAATACTGTGTAAGGTCGACCAGCCGTAAAGGCCTGAATTTCCCTTTACCCTCCAAGCTGATGGTGGAGGAAGAGGCAGAAGGCCTTTTGCACTGGAACTTTCTTCTTTGGTGGTTCCAACTATCTTCAGGAGGTTATAATAATAAGTAGCGGCCTCTAGCTTTGCGGTTTGGCTTGCTTCCTCCTCAGGGCTGGAGTGTATACACTCAACAAGTGGAGGATATTTCTTGAATCCTGTGACAAATGAAGGTCTTCATTGGTTTGTGCATTAAAGAGTTCACAACTTACAAGTGGCAGGTTCGCAATGGTCATTTGGACCTCACTGAGTATTCTAGAAAATGGAAGCTATGAAGCCCTGCATATCACAGTGGAGAGATGTTCAGGCCACTAACTGTCCTTTAGACACTAGAGACTTCAGCTCCTCCCTATGTTCCTCTGGAAGCTCCTCTATGAATTGCAACACTTCGTTCCACTTCAGATAGGCACTATTTTGACAGAAGTGCCTGGTAATTCAAAATGCACATCTGAAGACTAATGGAGAAGTAGACCTTTCTGTTGAACAAGTCCAGTTTTTAGGGTCCTTATTCCTTGTTTGGAGGCTTTTGCTGTTTAGATCTTTCATGCACTACTACCATCACCAGTTACCTTGGGACAGGGTGGAAGTAGAAATATTGAAATACTTAAGAGGGAACTTGATAATGTCTGTCAGCTTTCTTGGACGTGGGTGCCATGGATGCTGGAGTCTGACACAGAGCCGAGCTAGTTCCAGCAACCCCGCATTGATAGGCATGGCAAGCCCACCAGGTGACTGGGGGTTGGGGGTGGGCATGAAAAATAATTTAGTAGCAGTAATTTAAGGGATTTTTATTGCACTACCTCCACTAGAATCTCCACTACCTCCACTAGAATCTCCATGCATCACAAGAGGTCTTGGAAGATCCTAAAATCATCCACCTGGCTAGTAAAAGAGATAACTGCTTCTTCAGGCAGGGAAGGAAGATATTGCTGTTGGAATCAACTGAACTTTTGCCCTGTCCTGGTGCTCTTCATTGCTCTGATGCTCCCACTGGAGCAGACCATGATATAGTACAGGAACTCCTCACTTAACGTTGTAGTTATGTTCCTGAAAAATGTGACTTTAAGCGAAATGATGTTAAGTGAATCCAATTTCCCCATAAGACTTAATGTAAATGAGGGGGTTAGGTTCCAGGGAAATTTTTTTCACCGAAGGACTATATATATATATATATATACACACACACACACACACCGTATAAGTCTTAAACAAACAATTTAATACTGGTACACAGTGATGATGATTGTGAAGCTTGGTTGAGGTGGAGGAGTCAGACGGTGGGCTATTTCCCAGGGAATGCCTTACTGCTAAATTATGAACTAGCAATTGGCTGAGCCCTCAAGGGTTAACTCTAACAGTCTACAAGGCAGCAGGAAAGAAGGGAGGGCAGACAGAGACACACACCCTGTGTGTGTTTGAGAGATAGAGATGCACATTTCCCCTTTAAGTATGAAGAGTGGGGTCAGAAGTACACTGCCTTGTTAATTAGATCAGCAAGCTGAGACTGGACCGCAGCTGCAACTACTGCCTAAGGCAGCAGCTCCCTCCATCCATGTGTCCCCCTGCTCTATGGAAGATGGGGTAAGTGGGGTGCAGGAGCAGGGGGACACCCTGACATTAGCCCCCCTCTTCTTCCCTTCCCACCCACACAGCAAGTAGGAGTCTCGGGGAGCAGCTCCAAGGCAGAGGGCCGGAGCAGCAGATGGCAGTGGGGGGAGGGACAGCTGAACTGCTGGCAATTGATAGCCTGCTGAGCAGCTGCTGCACAGGGAACTTAGAGAAGTGGGAAGCTGATAGGGGGGCTGCCAGTCCACCCTGGTTCCAACCACCCACCAGCTAGCTGCAAAGGGCTGCTCTTCCTGCAAGCAGTGGACAAAGCGGGCGGCTGCAAAATGACGTTAGAAGGGAGCATTGCACAACTTTAAATGAGCATGTTCCCTAATTGATCAGCAACGTAACAATGAAACAACGTTAACCAGGATGACTTTAAGAGAGGACTTCCTGTACCAATAAACCCTCTTGAGTAGACTCATGATAACTTGTCGGGGAGGGAGCTCTAACTCTGGAGCAGAGGCAGTAAAGGAAGGATTTCTAGTGGGTTTCACACTCCAAGGAGTCCAATTTGTTCAAGACTGTATGTTGTAAGTGTAAGGGGATGGGGATCATGGCAGTGGAAACCAGAATGATTATTTCCCATTAGATCTCTGAGGTCTGGTTTGTAAGGGGGATTGCTGGATACCACAGTATGTTATACTTATAAGAAGCACACGGGATCTTTACAGGGGAGAAGGCAGCACACCGCATTTATTGAGAATACAACAGTTAGCATATGCTTTTCGATCTCTCTCTCTCTCTCTCTCTCTCACACACACACACAGTCCTGCCAGTTGATGTTTATAGTTACCAGTCCAGAGTCTAGATCAATCTAGTGGCAAGCCAGATTGGTTACAGAGGGGAGCAGGGCTCCGTCAGTTGCGATCCGATGCTCCTGGAGTGTGGCAAGATGAACCCAAAGTCCCATGGCCAAGCATCCTGTTCTTATAGTCTTTTTTCTCTGTTGAAGTCTATGGATTTTGCTGTGTCAGTTTGTGACCGGTTACTTCTCAACTGGTGTATCTTTTGATGTAAACATTCCAATACACCTCCAAGAGGGTCAACCTGTCCTGGTTCTGATTTAATCAACGGTCCTGTCTTTAGGGGTGTCAGCTTCACCTCAGGGTCGTCAATCTGCCCTTCCTTCATTATGGATGCACATTGATGATTCTCTGGTGTCATTAAGTCTCTTCACTCCTTCTTCCTTGACCATCTGGCTATAACAATGGCCTTCACACCTTACCTTTTCCTGATGCATACATTCCTCATTCACACAAACAGTCTTTTACAGAGACCTTTGGGAATACAGCAGTTTTTATGTTGAGCAAGAAAGGCATAGTAAATTAAGCCTTCCTCTAATCTCTTTGACACAGACACAATACAAGATCCTGTCTCTTACTTACTAAACCTTAAAACAAAGAAATGTATATTTAACTAGACTGCCTAATTTGTAATACAGGTAGGAAACCACAGTAGACATTATAACTTATCCTAAAACAAAACGGTGACCATAATCAGTCATAAGGCTTCTTCTGGTCTGTCCCTGCCTTAACATCAGTACAGACACTGGCAGTCTGTAAGGATGAAATCAAATCATACATTAATTCTCATAATACAATTATAAAATCCTGTAAGTAGACCAGTATGGCTCACATGAACAAGCACGAGGTGTATGGATGAAGGATAGCTCCCTGCTATGTTTGGAAGGGGAGGTGAAAAAATACTTATTTCATGGGGGAGATACTCTATCTGGTGTGCTAGGGAACTCTCAAATACCACTCAAAACCTAAACAGGAAAGCTCCTCAGTACCAGGGCAGTATTAGTGAGAAGTACCAAGTTAGTAGCACTTCAAGAAGAAAGGTTAGAACAGCAGATAAGGACAGCAAGGGTGACTGGTGCAGTCACTGAGCGGATCACTAGGAGTACCAAGAACATCTTTGATACTGAGAAAGCCAGCCCAAGAAACACCTACACTATGGAGGCTTATGCAGGCACTGAGGTTTTTGGTACCTAGAGCACAGGTACTGAGGAGTTAATACCAAGAGAAGTGTACAATTTCAGGCAATACCATCATGAGTACTTGGTGAGCAGCCTGTGCTGAGGCATATACTGCCCTCCACCTGAACAGAGACATGATGGGTCTTTTGTCTTGTTTTACTAGGCACCAATGAAAGGCTGTGTTTGCTCTGGGAGCGATGTTCCTTCTTATCTCCTTCTGATGATGACTGAGCAGAGAAAATCTTGACTATTCTGCTGGAGTAAGTAGTCTAGAGGTTCGATCTCTTTGAAGAAAAATTAACCTAGGAGTTCAGCGCTGAGCTGCAGCTCACAGAAGCACTCATCAAAACTCATCAAAACTGACTTTTCAGGCTTGCTGGGATCTTTTGTCTTCAGCTCTGAAGAGCCCTCATTTGAGAGCTCCAGTTGAGAAAAGTTGAGGTGGGCCTTCCTCACTTTCTGTGCCCTTTTGTAGAAGGAGCAACAGATGGAGCATCTCTCCGGAATGGGTCTCCTGCTGAGGTGAAAGAGGCATCTAGAGTGCCCATCGTTAATCAGGATAGTAGCCTCACAAAAGTTTTAAATCTCAGGGATTTTATTTCAGCAAGAGTGGCTAGTGGCCTGGTACCATGGGTATCTGGTACCCCTAAACTTTTCTAATTTTCATTTATTCTATGTACATATTTATTTATTGCCAATGGGTGGAACCAAATAATTAGTAACTATACTGTGAGGATTTGGGGAATCTGTTTGATGTTATGAACTACGTGTATGTTTATGCCCTTATAGGCTGCCTGTACTGTAGTCTTGCATCACACTATTTGTGTTAAGGAGAGGGAGCGTGGCCCCTGGGGTCAGCCTCAGAATGGATGGCCATTAAGTACCATCAACAACTGAATAAGCCTTGCCCTAGCAGGGAAATAGGGTGGCTCCAGTCTGTCTAGATCAAACCAGTTATCTCCAACTTGTCTGCAGAGGAGCAGAGAAAGAAAAAACAAAAACAAAAACAAAAAACAAGAGAAGGAACAATGAACCCAAGATGTTAGTGCTAGCTTTTAAGAACACAAAGTCTGGGAGGGTCAGAAACACAACCAGAGTTTAGGGCAGGAGTGAGAGCAGACTCCATGATCTGGACATGAACACAGAGTTGGAGGAGTAAGGTTCAAAAGAGACATGAGATCCTGAAAGGACACTGACCAAATCTTGAAGAATGCTCAAGAGTGATGAGGAGACTGAGGTAGGCCTGTCTTTTAACAGCTTTTAACTTTTAACAGCCCAGTCGGCAAGAACCGCCAGAGTCCCTTTTCAACCGGGTGTTCCGGTCAAAAACCGAATGCTTGGCAACCCTAGACCAGACCCAAGGGAGCAGAAAAGCTCACTGATCTAGTGCTTGGATCCAAACACAGCAGCCTGGTGAGTCTTCAACACGGGGGAGCTACGCCCCCCTTAGGTCTCATTCCTGACTCCAACAGACACGGATGGCCAAAATAATCCAATCTTGCATGCATGGGGCTTGTGCGCACCAGAAGTGGAATCCATGTGGATAATCTTTCAAAGAAGAACTAGCAGACATTCTGGGTGGGATTTTCAAAATAATTTTAATGGGAATTGGGCACCCAAATCTCTTAGGCAGAGTTGATAATAGCCTCAAAGAAACTGAAAGGGAACAAATTACAACTGATAAAAGGAACTATTCTTTTACCCACAGCATATTTCACCTGTGGAACTCATTGCCACATTATAACATTGAAACCAAGAGCTTAGTAGGTTTTAAAGAAGGATTATATATTTATATGATAATGAGAACACCTGCATTTACTTTAGAAAGGCTAAAAAATTGTAAGAATTATAAGCCCTTGTCCTTCAGGACATAAATTGGCCACTAACTGATGGGGATTAGAAGGAAACTTCCCCAATGGGTAGTTATTCCATCACTGTCCACTACTGGTGGTCTATAGTTCATTTTGGGAACCTCTGCTCTAACAGGTTTGGCCCTAACCAGGTTTGACCTTTCTTCTTCTGTGATACCTTGGTCACTGATATCAGCTGAGGTGCCCAAGCCAACAGCTCCTTATTTAGATAGGAAGAGGGTGGGGACAGAGGATTTCTGATGAGTGGCCCTCTACTTTGGAACTCGTTCCTCCCACCCAGAGCTATAGTCTGTTCATTCTGCAAGGCCTGCTGGGTTTATTCTCCCACACTGCGACAGCAGAATCCAGATTTGTAGTGCTAGGGGAAATGAAGCTCATATCAGGTTGCACATGTCAGTGAGGTGAAAGAAAATGGACACATCTAATCTGCGCTTCTTCCTTTCATCATTCTAGTTATTCTCCTTACCACGCCTTGTGACGTTATTGAAATGAACTGTGACTGTATACATCATTGTTGCAACCAGGGTCCTATGGTTGCACCAGGTCTTGCACAGAGGAGGTCAACTGGGGTGTCTATGGAAAGGTTGTAGTTTGCTGATTATGATTATGCTGTCTGTATGTGTGTATCATTTTTGTATTTGAAGTTATGAATATTGGCTATGTACTTGTATCTCAATGTGTTTGATTCTAAGTAGCCTCAGTGAAGCATTTGGTCAGCTTCTTGAAAAAGGACTATTCTCAGTAAGTGCCCAGTTAAGAAACACTTAACTGACAATGGACTTTGTGAGACGCCAATCCACATCTTAGCTTTCCTGGGAACATTCAGACTAACATGTAAACAATGGCGTCAGCCTGCAAAAAGCTGAATCATTCATGGACATGTGACTTGCCCAGGTGGCTACAAACTCCATCTTTTTGCTGTGATTTTGCACAGGAGACCAAAGGGGTTTTCGCCCACAAGAGAAAGAATATAAAAGGCCCTGGAAACCGCTCCATTTTGTCTTCAGCTGGCTCAAGAGATGGCCTCTCCACCCCAAAGAGATGCTTGAAAGAAACTAGAACAAAGGACAGTAACTACAGGGGTGGAAGTGATTGCTGGACCCAGGCCATAAACTACAACGTTGGTCTGAAAAGTATTGGGCCCAGACTAGGAAGGAGTTTAGTCTGTGAAAGAAGCTTACTGGAACATCTCTGAGGATGAGATTTTATCTGTAATCAGTTTCTTAATGTATTAGGCTTAGACTTGGGTGTTTTGTTTTATTTTGCGTGGTAACTTTATTCTGTCTGTTATTACTTGGAACCACTTAAATCCTACTTTTTATACTTAATAAAATCACTTTTGCTTATTAATTGACCCAGAGTAAGTAATTAATACCTGGGAGAGCAAACAGCTGGGCATATCTCTCTATCAGTGTTATAGAGGGTGGACAATTTATGAGTTTACCCTGTATAAGCTTTATACAGAGTAAAACAGATTTATTTGGGGTTTGAATCCCACTGGGAGTTGGGTGTCTGGGTACTAGAGACAGGAGCACTTCTTAAGCTGTTTTCAGTTAAGGCTGCAGCTTTGGGGCGTGTGGGTCAAACCCTGGGTCTGTGTTGGAGCAGACTGCCATGTCTGGCTCAACAAGGCAGTGTTCTGGAGGCCCAAACTGGCAGAGAAACCAGGCTCAGAGGTAGTCTCAGCACATCAGGTGACAGTCCCAAGGGGGTTTCTGTGATCGAACCCATCACATACCTATCCTGAGATGAATGAGCCCGATATAGAAACATAGACTGATGGAAAAATGTAGCCTTATTTTTTGGCCAAACCACTTCTTCTTTTAATGATCTGATGGTGTCAATATGGACTTGGTGAGCAGGCTGTTGAAATCCCTATTTGGAGTATGGAAGCAACTGGAGAAGCCATGTGTACTGCAACAAATCTAAATTCTCATCATTTACGCTTATGCCTAATCTGCCCAGCAGATGTGATGGGATGATTCTGTCATAGATGTTTACTGTTTGAGCCCTGACTCATAGTAAGGTGTCAATTACATTGGAGTTAATAAGAAAATATTTAATTTACTAACTGCAAGATCCTATTAAATGGAATATCAGCAATTCAAGCAATAGGATTAGTTAAAACATCAACAACAATAATTGCCTGTAATTTTTTTAAGGAGAAGACAAGTCTACAAATATAAAATCTGGCTCAGCCTTATTTTTCCATGCAAGTCAGATTATTTAAATTCATGAATAATGGATACATCTTTTTTATGATGTCTCATTGCTTTTCATAGTAGAAGAAGACTAGCATTATGCAAATGTAATGTCTTGAAAATGGTCTCTTGTCAAATAGGCATCATTTTCTATTTCTCTGTTGTTAATGTAATTGACAAAACACTCGATACTACTGATTATGCCTTTTCTTGTAAACTACTTA